CTTCCTTGGCATGGTTTGTTTCTGTTATTTTAAGGATAGGGAGCCACTCTTGGTTTTTTGTTGTTGTTTTTCCTGTGGTTTTGAAAATCATTTGAGCTCATTCCAGATAATTTGGAAAGAACAAAAAGGGGAAAAGAGTAGAAAAATCACCATTAGGTCCCCTATCCCAGAAGAAATCTCTGCCAACATTCTGCTACATATCTTTCTGGACTTCTTTCCTCCCCTCATTGTGTTTTCTGAAGTTATTATATCAAAAAGATGAGAGATAACAAGTGTTGGTGAGGACTTGGGAAAAAAAAGGAAACCCTTGCACCCTGTGGTGGAAATACAAATTGGTGTAGCCATTATGGAGATGCCTCAAAAAACTCAAAACAGAAATACCATATGATCCAGTAATTCCACTTCTGGGTCTATATCCAAGGGAAATGAAATCCCTACCTCCAAGAAATACTTGTACCCCTGTAAAAACACTTTACCAAGGGCAAATTTAAAAAGTTATAGAAGGAGAACAAGTTAGAGGGGAGTTGCGGTTGGTAAAATGTAGGCGGTTAGGTTATAGTTATAGTTCAGCTTCCATAATGTTGGAACTGACTGATTCAGTAATTAAAACATGACTTTATCTCATCTAGTGTTCAATGATGCTTTAACGCTTTATACAGTCAAATATTTCATAATGAACAATGCTTATCCATGAAAAACAAGTATTTCCTCTTGCTAAAAACGACCAGATTTGCATTCATGTTTCCATATTCCTTTCTCTAACCAGGTATCCGATGTCTGCAAACTGACCTGCTCAACAGTGTGGACATATAATCAAAAGCAAACATACCAATAGAGCTTGGAGAAGTAGGATTTGTGGACTAAACTGAACCAGGGTGGTTATGGGCTGGGCCCTCCCACAGAGTGGCTTCTGGCAACGGAAGGGTAACTTTAGGTCTTTTAGGTTTCTTGCCTTTGTACGTCCTGAAAGCAGACCCGGGGGAGGTAAATCTATAATTACGGGGTTATTTAGAATAGAGATTTGTGACCTGACAGACTGCAACCTGTCTGTAACCACAAACAGTGAAACCCCGCACCAGTGCTTTGTCTCTGGGTGTGCATGGTCTATTGAAGGGCTCTTATTTACTGAGCCACTTGGGTTCACATTACATTTCCTGAGAGAAGGAAGGGTGTATGGGACAGAGAACAAGTACATCTACGCATCTAAAAATGATATATCTTATCAATTCTTGCATTCTGTCTTAAAAATCAATTATCTTGAGTTCAAGTTTGACTTCACCTTACCTCATTATTTAAGTGCTGAGTGGTCAAGTTTCAAACCCAATAATAGGAAATGGAATTCTTTGTGCAAAGTGAATAAAAGCTACAGGACGACACATACCGATCCTTAAAGCTCTTCAATAGGAGACAGTATTTTAGAAAGTTTTAGGTTTAAAATTCCATCTACAATCATTTTAGTTGGTAATAAGTATTTTCTGAGTACTTGTATTTACAGCTCTCATACCAGATACTGTCTGTAGACAGCAGGTATGTGCCTATGAAATGTCATTCCCTGTTACCTGTTGCTGAGGCCTGGGCCCTCATCATTCTCTGCACACTGAATTTCCATTCTTATGCTTTTTGTGTCTTTCATTTAAAATGAACATATTTACCAGTATATGATTAACATAGTGACTTAAGACCTTTATGAGGTACCTAAAATTGCAAGATGAACTTACATTCCCATTTATAGGGCCCTGTAAAGGGACTGCATATTTAACACTACAAAACATAGATCTTGATCAACAGACAGGTCAAGTGTTTCAAACTTAAAAATTTTATTATAAAATGTTTCAGATCCAAAAGAAAAAAGAAAACCCCATGGAAAGTAAAAATATAAAAGACATTCGCGTGCCCACCACTCACATTTAACACTTTGCTATATTTGCTTCACACTATTTTTAAAGAAAGTAACAACAACAACAACAAAAAAGCATTAATGATAGAGTGGAAGGCCTCACCTCCTCTCTTTCCTTTCCATCTTTCCCTCCTCAGAGTTTACTGTATCCTGTTTTGTTTGTGTAGGTTTTTTATACTTTCACAACTTAAGTAGGTTTTAGGTTGCTTTTGTTTGGTTTTGTTTTAGGTTTCTAAAATTTGCCTAAGGGGTACAGTTTGCAGAAATGTTTGCAATTTGCTTTTTCGTTCAATATTAAGATTTATCTACATTGATGCAAGTAAGCCATACCATTCATTTGAACTACTGTTCAAATTCCATTCAATGAATATACCACTGTCTGTGCATCCATTTCCCTTCTGAGGGGCATTTAGTTTGTTTATTTGCCATATTTTACTATGATACACAATGCTAATATGAACCATCCATCCCTCCAGTCCCATTAGCTCTATCTTCAAAATAATATAGCTGAGCAGTTCTCCCCACCCTAAAACTACCGTAGTCCAAGCCATCATTTTCTCCTCCAGGGGCTCCTAAGTGCCTTGAGCTTTCAATCCTGCTCCCCTTCAACCTACAGTTCATACAGCCCATGGGGTCAGATTGGGTCTCTCCATCAAAATCCTTCCCATCACACCTGGGATAAAATCCAAAGCTCTTCCCATGGTCAGGAAGACCCCACATGATCTGGCCCCTCTCCCTTTCTTACCCTAGCTCTATAGTCACAGCATACTCGGCTTCTTCTGTTAGGTGCCTTACAGAGCCTTTGAACCAGCTGTTCATTCTGCTTAAAACCAGCACTTCCCTTATCTCCCATGACTTCTTCCCTTGCTTTACTCAGGCTCCTGATCAGATAACACCTCAGAGAAGCCTTTCCTGTTTTTCTTATTTGAATTAATACCTCTTTCATTTCCTATCTTCTTATCCTGCTTTTTTTTTTTTCCCAGAAGTTATCACACCTGAAATTATCATGTTTATTTCTACTCCTCTACTAGGATGTACACTCCCTGGCCTATGTGTCTCCAGTTCTCAGAATAGTGCCTGCTGTAATAGGCATGGTCTATACTTAACTTGAATGAATGAGAGAACATCAGTACAAGACTCATCATGCACATTCTCCAGGATGCTATCTTGAAAATTCTGTCCATGGCAAAGCGCAATATGAAATACGCCTTTATACAAAACACACACGCAAAAGTGACACACAGTTCGAGAAAACAATACTCACACTTACTACTCATATTTTTTACCCAATTTCAAAAAGAAAGAAGAAAGCGTGCTAGTTGTAACCCACTAAGTTGATTTCACAATTCACCAATGGGTTCTAACCAGCAGTGTGAAAAACTTTGTTTTTGGGTATATACCTGGAAGTGGTTTTGCTAAAGATCTGAACTGCCCTGTGAAGTAAAAAAATTACACTCCTAACATTGCAGGAATTTCCTCATGTCCTTACCAGCACCTGGTCTTAATCAGGTTTTTAAAATTTTTGCCACTGAGTGAAACTGTATCTGTTTTAATTTGCATCTTTCGGTTTACTAAAAAGACTGATAGACCAGACATCTTAATCTTAATATGTAAATTATTTTCTAGTGCCCCAAGAGAATTAAGAATTTTCCTATCAGAACTTTTCAGAGTCAAAGGACTTAATCTTCCCTTACTTTATGCATTTCACAATTCCAAATTCTCACATATTTCAGTGGCAAAAAACTGTATTCCCAAGGACACAGCACCAACGACAATTTTAGTTCTTTCACCATTTATATAGTTGTTTATTTACTCAACAAATACTTATTGAGTCACTCACCGCCCCCCCTCCCCCATCACCACCACTGCCAAGAATTTCGCCAAACCAACCGCCTCTCTTGGCTCCTACCTTCGAGACCGTGAGTTCTTTGTCCCTTGCACTGTGACAGTGACCATGGGCAGGCGTGTTTTAGAAAGGCTCGAAGACTCTGACCAAGACCCTCCCAATTCTTCCAATCCATTGTTCTCTCGTATTACTTGCTTACAAGTTTTTGTATTCAATACATCCAGAGAAGAACGCGGTGTGTTCACGCATGCTCTCTTAACTGCAAAGGAATTATTCCCGAAAAGTTTTTAAGGAAAAAATTCGAATGGTTTCATTTCAAGCACTTGTCTTAAATGTAAGATTATAATTAGTGTCTTTTAAAGCAACCCAAATCATCTTACTTTTTCTTCTAAAAGCTTTTTTTCCTGCTCTCTACAGAAAAAATTTTAAAACCTCACACTTTATTGCGTCGGAATGTCAGGTTTGATTAAAAGGGCAATTAGAAAATACCTCACGGTCATTCCAATTTCGGTATTATAAATTCTGACGAAAGAAAAGATAGTCAAACCACATTAATGGTCTTCAGCTTCTATCCTCAACAGATAAATTCTAAAGCCTGTATGATCCCGCCGATAAGTTAACTAATGGCAGCGCCTTTTTGTCCTAATTTAAAAAACCACTAGTCTTATGTAAAACAACAACGGCTTCCCGTGCTTTCTGGAAAAAAACATCAAGATTTAACTCATTTTACTGCTGCAGATGATGATGTGGTTGCCAGATAAGAGGTGCCACACTCAGAGACAGTGACTGGACGAATAAAGGGGGGAATTCATGCTTAATTCTTTGATTTTTACGCTTAATAACGTAAACCGCACGCCGCAATGCAAGTGATAAGAGCCAAAACCCGCAAGACTCTCGCTCTGCTCTCCATTACCCCGCACCTCGACTTTTCCTCTCCCAGCCCGGGAATTCATGCAAATCAGCCTGCTAACCCCGGGGCAACACGAACCTCTTTCGCGCCATTCGCTCAGGACCGTGCAGCAACATAAAGAGGGTTGTCTAGAGCCCTAAAAGCGCCGCTTTTCCACGGCGGACTTTAGGGCATTCCAAGGCTGTGGCTTGGGGTCATAATATTTTGGGGGCCGTTTTTTTCCCCAGTGCCGAGAGGGTCTCGCGCCTGGGTAGGCAGTTACCACAGCTTGCAGGACCTGCGCCCCAACGCGGGAAAGCCGGCTGGGGCCCCGCCCCTCGGGTCCCGGGTCTGAGTGCCCCGCCCGCCGCAGCTCCAGCTCCTTTGGCTCTGTGGGACCGCGGCGCGCGGTGCTTCGCTCTCCCGTCTCAGAGCGCCGGCCTGGGCGCCCGCCGCCAGCATGGACGCTCGCCGCGTGCCGGTGAGCGCTAAGCTGATGAACCCGAGGGGCGGGCGCGGTGGGTGCTGAGCGCGGACCGACTCCCTCTACCTCCGCGGTCCGAGTACTGCTTATCAACTGGTGGCGGTCCTGGGCAGCGCCCATTTAGGCAAGCCCCAGATTTTATGCATTTCGTGTAATTCCGAGCCCGGGACCGACCCCGCTAGGCGTGCGCACCCGGCGCGCTGGCGGTCGGAGATTTGAGCAGTTTTCAGGTTGGTTGGCAGCGCTGGGGAGCCCGAAGCCACGTGCGCCTGAAGTGCACGTGCGCTCGGGGCCGGACAGCGGCCAGAGCTAGCGGGTCCCCCATTGTGCCTGCCGGCCAGAGCCCGAGTGCAGGGGAACGCCTCCCTCCCTGCACCCTGGGGGTTTGCCCTGCAGCCGTGCAGCCTTTTCCAGCGTGCAGCTGCGGGCGGGTGGGTGGCTCGCTGCGGCAAGACCGGCGCGCACTGGGGGGCCCTTTGGACCCGCTCCCCGCCGGATTTTGCGCCTGCCACACCAGGATCCGCTTTCTAACCGCTGAGTACCTGTGGGTTTGAAGTTTAAAGGTCTTGCAAAATGGTCTCTTTAGGACTTGGGTGCGCACATGGGGGGAGGCATCTCTAGTTCCAGGCGGCGATTAAGAGCACCTGAAGGTGCTGTTCAACAACCATTTGCTCGTTTCCCACTCCTCCACCCACGAACCTTACTCGCAGCTGCAGGACGTTTCCCTGAATGGAACGTTACTTTTTGCTCTAACGGAAACCGGAACGTAGGGTCTGCCCCAGGAGATGTTAGTAGATGGGGGTTGGGTGGAAAGGAAGAGTGTGACATGCTTAAAATAAATAAAGAGTGACACGTGGGGAAGCTGTGGTTCTAGTGGGGGTGGGGTGTGGGAGAGGGCGTGTTGGGGGCGTGGTTTCAGACACTACTCTTGGGTGTAACCCGGCATTAGCTTTTAGATTGGAGAAAGCCATGTGTAACAGGACTTGGAATTTGACGTGCCTGGGTTCGAATTTGGGCCATCCTGTGACGAATAATCCACTTAACCCCTCACGCCTCGGCTTCCCCATTTGTTAGGTGGGAATAATGATAGCACCTTTGTTGCAAGGAATTAAACGTAATGTGAAAACATGCTTAGGGCCTGGCACGAAAAAAACACCTACTAAGTGGTATTAGTTATTACCTGCCTGCCAGAAAAGTTCATCTCAACCGTAACCATTTGCCTTTTTCTACGTCTTTTCCTCCAAACATGCATTTGCCTGCTAACTAACTCTTGGCATGTGCTGACGCGTTAAAGCCCAGCGTAGGTTTCCCTGTCAGCTTCCAGTAGACTGCCTCCCTTGAAGCTGTCTTGGGCCTCTGACTGCTTGCAGGTAGATTGATGAGTAAATTGCTGCACTAGTGCAAGGAGCACTGCTGTCGTAGGAGATTACAGAATTGGGTTCTCCTTCCAGCTGTGTCCTCTTGGGCACTCTATTTCACCTCCCTGGAGCCTTGAATTTCCTCGCTTGGAAAATGGGGTGTTTGAGACCCCTTCTAATAGGTAGTAGCACTACCTATTATCACATTTTTCTGCCTTTCTAAAAGAACAAAAGACATGATAATTTTATTTGCAAGAGATTGAAATGAAGTGCCTAATGTTAGATGTACAAGGAAGGTCAAGAATGTTCTTTCCACCTGACACCTCAGATCTTGGCTTTATTTTGTGGGACCCGTAACAGAGGTTGCCTTTTAAAGTTTTCAGTGGGAGGAGTCATTTCTATTGTGTGGCCATATTTAAGAAAATTAAAACATAGGAACTAAAAACACTTAAGTCTCATTAAATGTTAAGAAATGCCAGAAACTGCTGTCTCTACATTTAGATAGATGCTAATTGCATTTTCTGATGAGCAAAGCCAGGCTTTTCAGTGTTTATGAACAAGTAACCTACAAGTAATTTGTGACTTACAGAAGGAATTCTAAAAACTTAAGAATTGTATAGGAAGCGGACTTTGGAAAGAGCTGAATGTCAGGCCAGGCTGATAGAATGCTGAGGTGGAATCGTGCATTCTACCTGGGTTTGGAGTGCTGTTTGACCTTCAACTTGCCTCCTTGTATGTTTGTTCACTCGGTTGATGTACTTGATTTGTAAGGGCTTGTGCTGAAATCACTATACCCCTCCTGGTTAGAGCAGGGCCAGCTTGAAAGCCTGCCATCTTGAAGTAGAGGTGCTGCCCAGTTCTTGTAGTTTGGGAAATTAGCATCACAGTACATAGGCCAAAGCTTATATAAAAAGACCTCATTAGCTTGATTTTGGCTGAGGGAGAGAAATCACTCTACCATTTTGTACTTTTGAAATTTCCTTTTGGAAGTGCAATCTAATGTTTTTAACAGGCAGGTTTTAGGAAGTCAGCATTAAGCCCCTTGGGAACTCCATATGACACGCTTAGCTTGGGGGAAAGAGGTGTTCAGTGAGGTAGTTCTGTAGATGTTTGATTGAACCGATAAATGTCCTTAACAATATTCCTTCAAAGGGATCCCCTTTTAAGATTTTACCAGGTTTTGAAAATATTGTTGTAGCATTCGCAAATCCTCCTTCTGCTATGTAGGATATAAGAAATGGATATATCTACTCTGTGCTGTTTGAACTACTAAACTCAAAAATGATGTCTTCAGTTAGTGTAAGCGTCCCACTTAATAGTATTGCCATTTTCATTTACAGCAAAAGGATCACGGAGTAAAGAAGAACGTAAAGAAATTTAGATATGTGAAGTTGATTTCCATGGAAACGTCGTCATCCTCTGATGACAGTTGTGACAGCTTTGCCTCTGATAATTTTGCAAACACGGTAAGTGCTGCCTGAGAATAAACAGAATTGAGTCTGCAGTGCCCACAGTGCCCCAAATGCTTTGTGCGTGATTAAAGCTGCTTGCTTTTTGCCTGCATTTCTATACAGCCGCTGGAAAATACAGTATGCATTGTAATTTCATTTCACTTTTTGCTGTGGTTCTAGGTAGTAATTGTTGGAGGTAGATTAGCTACTTATTCTATCTTTTTGAAATGTCGCCTAACCTAACATGCCTGATGATTTGCCATAACAACTCAGAAATCATTTGTAAACCTCTGAACCATTTTTCTTTGTAACAAAAGCTGTTCTCTTGTAGTGCACTTGTAAATGTGATTTGCTCTCTGCACGGTTTATGGAAAATTGGTTCTTGAAAAAGGAAAAAAAATGCACAACCACATTTATTTATTTATTTTACAGAAACCTAAATTCAGGTCAGATATCAGTGAAGAACTGGCAAATGTTTTTTATGAGGACTCTGATAATGAATCTTTCTGCGGCTTTTCAGAAAGTGAGGTGCAAGATGTGTTAGACCATTGTGGATTTTTACAGAAATCAAGGCCAGATGTCACTAAAGAACTGGCCAGTATTTTTCATGCCGACTCTGACGATGAATCATTTTGCGGTTTCTCAGAGAGTGAGATACAAGATGGAATGGTGAGTTTGAGAACCCATGTCAAGAAGTACAGTACATTTACAGGCATGACATACTTGTTTGAAGTTTTTTTTTTTCTCGTAATTTAAAGTTTTTTTTCTCGTAATTTTCATTTTAGTCATGCCAGAAGATTTTGTTGACCTTTTTAAAATTTTAACATTTTCTTCATGTCTTACAACAGTTTTTACTAATGTAGCCCTACTTGTAAAGCTTTGAACATTTTGTAGGCTCTGAAAATCTTGGAAACCGGTAAGATAAAATTGGCCAACCTCCAGATTTCTGTTGCCACAGAAATCTAGCCTGATGATCAGAAGCCCACATGTCCTCAAGATTAGCTGTATTCGTATTTAAGTTCAAATGCCCAGCCCAGTACTGGCCCCGGCCTGGAGCAGGCCTTTGGTAAATGTGGGTTCGAGTGCACATAATGACAATTAGGGCCCTTCCTGCTTTCACTTGTGCTCCTTGGCTGGCTTTTCTTGTGCACGCTGCTTTACCTTTAACCTCGGTCCTTCTGCTCAGGCCACTGCTGCTGCACCTCGGTCCCGCTCTCCCTGAGCATATTGCTTAGTTCTGCAGACTCTGGTTAGCAGGACTGTCTCAACAAAGGAAGCAGTGTGTTGGTTTACAGTCAGGTGCATGCTCTTCAGCTCATTGGGGTCTGATGGGGAGCCACTCCCAGCGACCACAATGATACTGACATAAGTGAGAACATCTGGCGGAGGAGTGTTTATCGCGGTCTGACTTGGTGGTAATGTAACATTGCCTCTAAGAAGTGATGGTGGTCCAAATCAATGCAGATTGGAGTTCTTGCAGAGGCTGGTCTGTAAGTCTGCATGTGACCTGAACATTGTCTAGCCTGAGTCATTTCGGGGCAGTGAATACACTCTTTGTAGATGCTGGTTTGTTTCAATTAATAAGATGCCAATCGATTAAAAGTCTTAAGAACCCATAAAAGTTTGTCATTTTCTCGTCATTGGGCACACTAAAAGTACATGAAGAATACTAGAAGCTGCGCAGATTTAAGAAGTGTTTGGATGTTAAAAAAAAAGTGGCTGTTCCCTTTCTGGGACTTTATGGGTTATATATTTTCTTTTCTCAGTCACTTTTTTTCAGCCATCACTACAATCAATTTAGAATATTTTCATCAGCTCCCCAAAAAAACCTTGTCCCCATTAACAGTCACTTCTCATCCTTTCCCAGTACCCTCAGTCGTCAATGGGCAACCACCAATTTGTCTGCTACCATTATAGATTTCCTACTCTGGACACTTCGTATGAATGAAACCGTACGCTATGAGGTCTTTCGTGAATGGCTTCTTTCACTTCATGGAAGATTTTCAAGCTTCTTCGATGTTGTGGCATGTGCTAGTACTTAATATCTTTTTATTGATGAGTAATATTTTGTGAATGTACAACATTTTATTTATCCTCTTCATCAGTTGATGGGCTTGGGGTTGTTTGCACCTTTTGACTATTGTGAATAGCACTACCGTGAACATTCACATACAAGTTTTGTGTGGACATAATACTATCGGAGCATATATACGAACAAGTCCTATGGTAACTCTGGCCTTGTAACGAACTGACAGGCTGTCTTCGGCTGCACCTTTGTACATTCCTACCAAAAGTGTATGTGGTTCCAGGTTCTCTACATCCTTGCCATACTTGCTATTGATTCAGCTCCACTAGTGGGTAATGAAGCGGTATCTTGTGATTCCGATTTGCTTTTCCCTGGTGGCTAATTTTAATATATTTTTAATGATGGAACCCCACTTTAATTTTGGAATCTCAAAATTTTTTTAATTTTAAGTTTACAGTAAGTAGATTAGAGAGGTACCTCAAATAGTCAAATTCATAGAGACAGAAAGTAGAATGGTAGTTGCCAGAGGCCAGAGGCCAGAGGGGAGTGGGGAGTTAGTGTTGAACGGGTGCAGAGTTTCAGTTTGGGAAGATGGAATGGGTGATGGTTGTACAACAGTGTGAATGTCCTTCATGCCACTGAACTGTGCACTTAAAAAGGGTTAAAATGGTGAATTTCATGTTATGCCTATTTGCCGCAAATTTTTTAAAAAGTAGATTAGAGCACTCAGGCACCTGTAATATAGTTTAATGCCAAACATTGAAACCATGGTTGTGGGAGAACACATATTTGTTTTTATAGGAATTCTTTTAAAAAACAAAAGATCTATTTTTGAATTAAAAAGGGAGCTGGGATTTTCACATTAAAAAAAAAGATTAAGAACTCACTGGCCTAAGGGCTATGAAGATGGCTTATAAAGACCTGTCTCAGGCTACAGGAGTTCAACTACCCTGATTATTGTATTTATTTGTAATTCCTGATTTTATTGCCCAGAGCTGTCAATTAAAATTGACAATTAAGGTGTTCAATTAAAATTTATTTGATGTCAGTGTCTTTTGTTCAGAAGGGATTTTGTAGTCATATTGGTGCAGCCTGTCGGACAATCAACAAGTCATTAACGACTCCATTGTTCCTGATTAACTAGAGACTGCAGTCAGACCACACTGGCTACAGGACTCGCAGCCAGTGCCGAGGGTCCGGACCCCTCCGGGTGGCCATGAAGTTTCCAACCCAAAAAACCAGGGGAGCCGCCAGCAAAAGAGCAGTGCCCCCCCAGCCCCCTGAGAATACTGTGACCGATTCCAGTTCTGATTCAGAAGATGAAAATGGAATGAATTTTTTGGAGAAAAGAGCTTTAAATATAAAGCAAAACAAAGCAATGGTAGGTATCTGACTTTGTGCTAACACTAATAACCCTTCCCGTCCTTTCTGTAAGCTGCTCATTGCTTATACCTGTGTCCTAAGAATTATTTTCAGTGTAACTGTGAAGTCTTCACAATGTGTGCTTTAAATGTGCTGCTTTTCCTAAATTAACTTCTCTTTTTTAATCTATTAAAGTCTTGGAAATGTATAAGTGAAATCAGAAACTCGAGATGTGCTACTAATTTCCAGAAGTTGCTTTTTTTCAGCAGTTATTCTAAACTAATAATTTCTGTTGAATATCCTCCCTTTTTAGCTTGCAAAACTAATGTCAGAATTAGAAAGCTTCCCTGGCTCATTCCCTGGAAGGCGTTCCCTACCAGGCCCCGGTACAGTAAGTGCAAATCCTTCTTTATATTGTAGTATTTTGGACAGGTCTAAGATAGATTTATTTTTAAGATTTTATTTATTAGAGAATGAGCAGGGGGAGGGGCAGAGGGAGAGGGAGAAGCAGACTCTCACTGAGCAGGGATCCCAATGCCAGGCTCCGTCTCAGGACCCCGGGTTCAGGACCAGAGCCGAAGGCAGACGCTTAACCGATTGAACCACCCAGGTGCCCCTAAATTTGTTATTTTAAAATCCAATTTCCTTATTTTGTGTAGTCCTACAGACAAAGAAGTAAACCTAACAGATCTCTGGGACCTCTTCTGTGCATGCTAGGACAGGTGTGGCCTCTCCAAACCATGCTTCTGCAGCGCTTAAACCCCTTTTGATTGGCTATTTCTCTCCTTCCCAACTAAATTAAGCCTCTCAAGGGTAGGGAGTAAAGATTGAATTTTTTTTTTTTTCTGTATTCCCAGCATTAGGATATTCCTTCCTTCCTCTGCTGCATTTCCTAATAATAGAGGTTTTTAATAACTGAGAATGGGAGAAAAAAAGGGAAAAAACAATTTCCTAACCAAGTCACGGCCTAATATATGTGATTATCTTCTGAGGAACTAAGCTGGTGCAACTAAGGGGAATTTGGTGTGTCTACTCCCTGAGGAGAAAGGGAAGAGGCAAGCAAGAAACAGAAGAAGGAAAACCATACATACATTTCTCTCTTGTGCCATGTAGAAATAGTGGATATGTTTCAGGGCTCAAGAGATATTGTAGAAAGGGTTTTTTTGGGAAAACGAGATCTGTTCTTAAGTGGAAGAATAAAAGGATCATCTCTCACTCTGAGAGAGATGGCTTGTTGTTAGAAGAGCAGAATTACAACAGCTGTATCATTTTGGGTCTCACTTCCCATGCGTTATGGAAAGGACAAAGGATTAGGAAATGGAGCTCCTGTTTTACTTAAACAAAAACGTACTTAAGGAGAAGGTGCCACTTCTCTTCATTCTGGAATAAATGGGTTCCATCATGTGTGTTTTGTTTAGCAGTCAAAGACACCCCGAAGGCGTACATTCCCAGGTGTAGCTTCCAGGAGAAACCCTGAACGAAGAGCTCGTCCTCTTACCAGGTCAAGGTCCCGGATCCTTGGGTCCCTTAGTGCTCTACCCACAGAGGAGGAGGAGGAAGAGGAGGAGGATAAGTACATGCTGGTGAGAAAGAGGAAGACCATGGACAACTACGTGAATGTGAGCTCTCCACATTTGTGTTTGCTCTTCTGTTTGTCATCTTCTGTAAGCCCAGTATCCAATACACAACACAGGGACCCATGTGGCCTCAACATAAGATGACCCGTAGTAAACCTTCTCAAATCATTCAGAATTGTTAATGTCATATAAACTTATTTGATGTGTTTTGTTAGCAGGTGAGAAGGTCAAAGCTTGTTGCTTACTTGCCTTTTTTTTTTAAGATTTTATTTTTAAGTAATCTCTACATCCAACATGGGACTCAAACTTATAACACCAACATCAAGAGTTGCGTGCTCTACCGACTGAGCCAGCCAGAGTGCCCCCCCTACCTTTTATTTCAAGATTTTATTTTTAAGTGGCCAAAGCTTTCTTCAGCTTCTTAATGTAGGAATCATTTCCATGACGTTGTCCCATTATCTTTAGTAAACTTAACTTGCCCCTTCTCCATAAGCTATAAGAAAGATTTCTAGGTTGAATTCTTCGTGAAGAAATTACAAATCATGTATCTGGGATTCAGAGCTGGGGAGAGCCAGTAGAAACACCATTCCATGAATTTTGTCATGCAGGAAGATGACATGCCCAGAAGTCGTCGTGCCGGATCCATGACCCTTCCACATATAATTCGCCCTGTGGAAGAAATTACAGAGGAAGAGCTGGAGAACATCTGCAACAACTCTCGAGAGAAGATCTATAACCGCTCATTGGTACGAACCTCTCTCAGTCATATCTGTGAACATGAACATCTGTGAGAGAAAGGATAGCTTCTATCCTTAGAGTTTTGCTAATGTTAAAGGTCTTAGCATATTTGATATGTGCCTGGGTGTTTTTTTCATATAAGGAAAGTTTTTTTAGCATCCTTGGGATACACATCTCTTAGTGAGTCTGCAGTAATGGTATTTGCCTAGTAAGCCTTTGGTAGCATTTGATTTTTCTTTAAATTTAGAAGTCGATTCAACATCTGTTTACTGTGTGTACGTCTACATACACAGGTGCTGGGGTAGAGTGGTGTGCTAAAAAGAAAGATTGGGGTACTTTTTTTTGCATAAGATGTTTTCTTGCAGAAAACTAGTTTTGATAATATTAACTATTGCATCTGCCAATTGATGAAATCACCATGCTTGATTTATTTTTCATGCCCTTGGCATATACATGTGCGTGTAGATTTAACATAGGATTGAAAGACGAATTGTCAGACACCATCTACAAAGAAGGACGTTCTTTATGCTGTTTTTCTATACAAAAAGCGGTGTTTTGTTCTTTTTTTCCGTCTTAATTTGCCTCTTTGTAGGGATCTACTTGCCATCAATGCCGCCAGAAAACTATTGATACCAAAACAAACTGCAGAAACCCAGAGTGCTGGGGTGTTCGAGGCCAGTTCTGTGGTCCCTGCCTTCGAAACCGTTACGGTGAAGAGGTCAAGGATGCTCTGCTGGATCCAGTAGGTGCCTTGAAGGGTGGTCCTGTGGACTTAAATGTTAGCCATGAGTTGAAAGGGCCAGAAAGGGTAACAGTGAAAGGATCGAGCCTTAGAGTTGTGGGGTGCACATTTCAGGGGAGGCTGATGACTTCATAGACCAGTATGAGTCCCCCTCCAGAGTGCTTGGTTGGGACCAGACCTTACAGGGGAAGTTGACTCTACCCTTGCTAGTTGCTGTGTAACCTCTGCTGCATTTCCTAAGAAAACATCAGGAGGACTAATGGAAATTAATCATATTAAGCTTTTGCTGTTACTTAAAAAAAAAAAAAAGATGTAAATGCAATTGATGTACCTACCTTAGAGGTTAAATAAGAATAGATAAGTAAGGGGAGGAAAGTAAGATTTGATTTAACTGTGCCTTTTCACAATTCTCCTTCAGAATTGGCATTGCCCGCCTTGCCGCAGGATCTGCAACTGTAGTTTCTGCCGGCAGCGAGATGGGCGGTGTGCGACTGGGGTCCTTGTGTATTTAGCCAAATACCATGGCTTTGGGAATGTGCATGCTTACTTGAAAAGGTAAATGGCTGGTTTTTCTCTCTTCCACACCCAAATCTTACATTCATGTTTGTGTCTTAATAAAAAGATAATAGAAGTGAAAATAGTGTTTGTCTCCGGGGGGTGAGGACTGCAGGTTTTGACTGCAAAGGGACACACTGGGAGTCTTTTCCAATCTTGGAAATGCGTTCTGTCTTCATCTGGGTGGTGGGGACGTGTGTGTGAGTGCATAAAAATTCCAGTTGTATGGGGGCGCCTGGGTGGCTCAGTTGGTTAAGCGACTGCCTTCGGCTCAGGTCATGATCCTGGAGTCCCTGGATCGAGTCCCGCATCGGGCTCC